TTCAGAAGAGACAGGGAAGAAGAGAGGAGAAACGGCTCAAGGAGGCGACCCCGGGTATTCGTCAGAACGTCACCCCAAAGAGAATGACGACAATTGAAGTCACCCAGCAGGAGCACAGGCTCCGGCAAGGAGTCTAGGAGGTGTTTCAAATCAGGAAGAGAGAGCGGGACACTCGGGGGGAGATAAATGGAACAAACTGTGTACCATTTCCCCACAAAGATACGAGCAGCAGAACAATGGAGAGGCGAAGGAAAAAGTAAAGGAACAAAGGGAACATCAGCCCGAATCAAGAGAGCAGAAGAATTAGAAGCCCCAGCAATGGCTGGGGGGGGGGAGAGAAAGGAATAGCCACGAAAACGACCAGGACGAGCACCAAGCATCGGCTCCTGGAGACAGACACAAAGGGGCGAAAACCGCGAAACCAGAAGTTGGAGTTCGAGGAAATTGGCGTAATAACCTCGAACGTTCCATTGAAGAATGGACAACGACGAGAAGAGAAAGGACAAAAACAGAGAACAAGGAAGAAACAAAGGCGAAAGACCAACAGAGCACGTTAAAGAATATCAGGGTCGGGATCAGGGTCAGCAAAGTCAGGGTTAGGGGGCATGGGTAAACTGAGCAAAGACGGAGGGAAGGAAACGGGAGAACAGATCAGAGGTGGGCGGGCAGGGTCCGGAGGAGGAGGAGGAGGAGGAGGAGACAACGGAGAGGAGCAGTCAAGGACAGCAGCAGGAAGAGGGGGAGTAAAAAGAGAGGAGCGCACCCCAGCAAGAGCAGCAACCGAAAGGGAAGCAGGGGCCAAAGAAACCTCCATAGCAGGAACAGGGGGCGCAAGCACTGAAACGGGAGGGGAAGGAGCAACAGAGCCAGGAGGAGGAGCTGAGGAAGAAAGCGAAGCCTTCTTACCCGCCGGGGAAGAGGAAGGAGAGGAGCCAGGCTTACGCTTCTGACTTAAAGAGACCGGTGTCCCAGCAACTACGTACCGGGCAACGGATTCCAGTGTCTCAACAGGAGAAGCCGAACGAGAGCACACACGACGGCCGTTAGGAGAGCGATGGACATCCGCCCGCACCGACAGGCGGCGGGGAGAGCCGATAGATGGAGGAAGAGGATGGGAAGGAGGATCGGAGGGGGACGAGGAAGGAGACACAGAAGACACGACAGACCGGGTAGAAGGAAGGGGAACCCCAGACAGAGGACCAGAAGGAGGATCCTTCGGGAGAGAACCCAAAGGGACAGAGGAGGGGGCAGTGGGCGCATCAGGGTCCAAGGCCTGGAAACGGTTGTGAGTCTGAGGAAGGCGGGAAGGACGAGGAGAGGAAGAGCGCAACACGCGAGCATAAGAGATATTAGCATAAGGCGGGAGCCGGCGAACCTGGCGCCTCGCCTCAGGAAAAGATAAACGCTCCCGGTGCTTCAAGTTGAGGACGGCTGCCTCAAGCTTGTAATGGACACACGCACGGGAGAAGGTAGGATGGGCCTCACCGCAGTTGAGGCAACGAGCCTGGGGAGAAGCGCACTCCGACTTAGAGTGACCTTCGCCACCACACAAAGGACAGAGAGAGACAGTCCCGGAGCAGTGGAGGGCACCATGCCCAAACCTCCAGCACTTGTTGCAGAGCCGAGGAGAAGGAATGTACTCCTGGACAGAGCACCTGGCACCAGCAAGAATGACAGAGAGTGGAAGGGTCCTACCATCAAAGGTAATCTTCACAACCCGGAGGGGTTGACGGCGACTACCACGAGGGGGACGAGTAAACGTGTCCACCTGGAGAATAGAATGGCCCTGGGCAGCGAGGATATGTCGAATATCGTCGTGGCAGTCGCGTAGGTCCCGAACACCGGTCGCAACATGGGGCGGGAGCAAAATAGTGCCAACACTGGCATTCAACTGAACGTTCTTCGAGACCCGAACGGGGGTCTCGCCAAGGCAGGATAAGGCAGCCAAGCGGGAAGCAGCATCCTGAGAAGGAGCAGCAACAACACGTGTACCGAGACGAGTGGGGTTGAAAGTAATGGAGGCATCCACGGAATCAATGAGATGTCGATGGAGGGAGAAATCGTCAGGAGGCGCAGAATCAAGAGGGACGAGATCAAAATATTTGGCCCACGAAGCGGGACCAAACAAGGCTTGATAGGTAGCAGAACTGGAAGGAATCGAGCGAGGGCGGCCGTGACGAAGACGGCGGTGAGAACCCCCAGAGAGAGAGGGGCTAAAAGGCGCAGTAGTTACAACTAGAGAAGGAGCCACGCCAGGGGACGAGGTAGTCACCACTGGGGGCTTGGGGCTCGACCCAACCACAGAGGAGGGAGGGGAGCCAGAGGAAGGAGTCAGAGAGGCCAAAGGAGGAGCAAGGTCGGGGCCCAATGCAGCGGAGGCTACAGAGCCCGGTCTTCCAATACGGACCGACTCGGGGGCTTGGTCGCCCACCCCACGAGCCTGAGAAGGTAAACCAGAAGAAGCCGAAGCAGGGGTAATCATCTTGACGAAAGAAAGAATTCACTCACGAATGTGCCCCCACACCCACCATGGAGCCACAATTAGAGGCAGGACACCCAACAAGAAGCTATCGCCGATCTTGTCGGGGCCTCCTAGGGGTGCGTCGCGAGTATACGCCCCACAAACGCCACCTTAAGAAACCGACAGTCCGTCGAGATCGGGTTCAGTGACGAAGTGGGGATTGACAATAAAAGGTTCCCCTCGCTCTCGACGTCGGGTACTGCAGTTCTACGGGTGCATGAGTATGCCTCCTCAAGCACCCGGGCGTCAAAATAGAAGAAGTCCAAGGGAAGAACCAGAACGAGCAAAAGGTCGGTAGGAAACGGCAAGCAGATAGGAGAAGAGGGGGGAGAAAAACGAAACAGAAGGAAAAGGAAAAGATGCCCAGCAGAATTGGAGAGGACGGCAGCAGGAGCACAAGGCTAGAAAAGGACAGAGGACTGTCCCAAGGAGCATCACACTCCGGCAGCCGCCCACTAAGCCCCCACACGGCGACAACGAGCTGAGCGGGGAGGGGGCTCAAATAGCAAAAAATCTAAAAAGAAACGGTAAATCCTTGTGAAGAATTCAGACGGGATAGTCACTGGGCGCGAGGCACTGGTAAACTGAGCGGCGATCGCCGTGCCACCACATGCTAGGTCAGCCCGTACGCGTATCAACACCCTCGTATCCCAATACAAATTTTCCAAGCAAATCCTGCTTGTAACCCGAAAAACTCGTAACCAGGGGCGCTCGTAAGCTGAGGTACCACTGTATCTTCCATTAACCAGTTTTCCACAAGCTTATCATTAGAATATCCATTTACCACTCTGCACGTCTCTTTACTGCATATCTTTGGATATCATATTTAAACCATGATAATTTCTTCAAGATAAGCAAAAACATATAAATAAGATGCCATAACTTCAAGCTTGTCAGGTGATTTTGCAGAATATACAACAAGTGTAACTTCTCTCAAAGTAATATATCATGGGACCGTCTTCCTGGTGAAGCAATGAAGAACAACACCTCACTGCCAGACACAACAAGAAAAGCTCATTATATGAAATAGGTAAATATTTTACAAGTTATATGTCCACTAGATATAGTATTTTAAGTAAATATATGCATGTACTTAAAATTGTGGCTATTCACATGCATAAGCAGTCCAAAATGTATGACTTGGTTGTTTGCCTATATTTTACAGATATACTGTATCCATAAATATGACATATCTGAAGTACTGTATTGCTGATGCAGAACCCATTCCTTAACCCTCAGGCAGCAGTCATCGTCATATGTTGATTCACAAGGTAATGCGGTTATTGTCATATGACGATTTAAACAATCATTGTCTGGGTTTTACATGTATGAAGCAAATAAGGATATAATAGGTCTATGGGGTTGAAATGAGGTTTACCTCCATTACATGAAAAAATGTAATAGTTGCGTGTGAAAAAAAATGAAAAAATCAAGTGGTTACGTGTGCTAGGGAAATGCAGTTGTCATAAATGTTACTAGAAGAATGAGGTTATCATCATATGACGATTTAAGCAATTATTGTCTGGGTTTTACATGTAAAATACAACTATGGATATAATAGCTCTCTATGGATGTAAATAAAGAGAAACAAGTGATAACAGTCAGACACACATCCGAGGATAACACAAATGTGTCAGCAAAGTTGAGCACCGGGTGTTGACAGGTGCCAGACACAGCCATCACACACCTTTCCAGTGCCTTCACACAGTAGTAGTAGTCGGCATCCATCAGTCTTGGGAGACTATGGAGTTGCGCTCTGGTTATCATTCTGGAGTGGAATCTCCAGGGCGCAAAGCCAGGGTAGGAAATTCCTACCTTCTTTCAACTACCTTCCTACCTTCTTTCTACCTACCTACTTTCTTACAGGGAAGGAAATGACAGGAAATTCACCAATTTCCCTTCACCCAATGAAACGATAAACATTCACCCATTTTCGTGTTTTTCTTACATTTTGTATATACATTAATAATTCTATACTGAAAAATGATTTGTTGAAGTTTTTATACAGTATTTTTTGTACATAGATGGGTATGACCATTTCTCCATAGCCACTGTCCAAGGGTTAAGAATGGTAATGTGTCTTCAGATGTGAAATGAAAATGCAGAACTCTTGAACTTGGATTAGAAATGACTAAAAATAATAAGTGCATCCAGATTTGTCAGATATATGAACTACCTGCTACTAGAAACACCTAAATATTACAAAAATATACAAAAGTTTAAAATTTTATACTGCAAATATGACAAAACGAATAGTAACCGACAGATTAAGGTCAATTTCTTCAACGATTAATCTGCTATAGATTTTAGAAGCAAAATAAAAAAATGTTGTACCGTAATTAAAATAATTAAAAGACTTTCAACTTTTTAGCCATTAAGAAATCCCTTCAGCTTTAAAATTCATAGAGTTTTTAATAAAATGCCTCAAATAAAGCAATCTAAATTAACAAATTTCAAAGCATAAAAGAAACTCCCATACCTCTGCATTATAGAACTTGGTCTTTACATCCAGAGGCTTCATGACTTGGAACTTGAAGAATTTGCGAAAGTTAAGTCGATCTCCAGAAGCTGACAAATAACTTACAGCACAAACCAAGCTAAAAAAAAAAAACCAGCGTTGAATGTAATGAAACGCCATTTTCTGGGTGAGTCCCGGAGGCTCCCCGGAGCTATCCCAGGCTGATATGCTAATGTCAGACTTTGGCATCAGTCATGTGTATGGAGTTCTTAGGCCTACCGGGGACCACGGCCAGAACCGGGCCCCCTCAGAGAGGCAAGGGGAGCAATGGCCTATAGAAGCCCCCGTGTAGTTGGAAGCATTCTATGTCTGCCATCGACCGGAACAGGCACCCAGAAAGGTAAGCGCCCCAAAACAAACCCCTATTCTGGTTAAAATTGCTACCTAAAACCGAACTAGTGGATAGAACTCCCCAACCGAAAACAAGCAAACTAGTGTGACGTCACACACTGCCGCGCCGCTGTCTGCGCAGCTCCCCCCTCCCCGGGAGGGGGAAGGGGGAGCCCCAGACCCCCCGCGCCGGCTACCCACACCTCAGTTCTTGAGGCTGGATGTCAAAACGCGAAAAACCGCCGACCGGAGGGAGGGAGGGATGCCGGGGAGCCTCCGGGACTCACCCAGAAAATGGCGTTTCATTACATTCAACGCTGGTTTTCTGGGGGGAGCCCCGTCGGCTCCCCGGAGCTAACTACCCACAGACAGAAAAAGAGGGACTTACCCGGGAGGCGGTCGTCGCTCACCCCTCAACTCGAAGCCGAGACAACTGGCTGCAACCGCCGACCCAAAGCAACACAGGCCCGACGAGGCCCAGGGACATTCACAAGGTAACGAGCAGCCAGGACCCTGTTCGACCGCCAAAATCCCCGCGCCCGAATATCAGACCAAGACATATTCCCAAAGACGGCAGCAAGAGCCGCGAACTTACGAACGTCATGGGCACGGGGTTAGACCGCAGGCTGGCTGGACCTAATAACCCTGCGGACGACCTGAGAGACCCGAACCCGCGAACAGGGAAGAAGGGAAACCGGGTCAACCCACAGCGCGTCCCCGGACACAGAAGCTGTGGCGCGCAAATAACGGCGAAGCGCCGCAACCGGACACAAAACATGATGCACCCCCGGCCTGACCAACCAAGCATCAACCACCCATGGACCCCTCCGGAACGCAGCAGTCTCATTCTTTGCCAGAAAAGAAGGAGACGGCTGCAAACGAACAAAACTATCACCACGACCAAAAGAGCAGAAACCCCTGCGCCGGAGGAGAGCATGAAGCTCCCCTACCCGACCCCCAGAGGCCAAAGCCAACAAGAAAAGTGCCTTGGAAAAACAATCCTGGACCGAAGGGGCCACAACGAAACGAGGAGATGAAAGGAAAGCGAGCACTCTGTCCAAAGACCAGGACGGCTCAGGCGACGCATGAGCAGGCCGGAGGTGAAACAATGCACGAGACAGCTTGCGAAACGGCGCAAACGTAACATCGATACCGAAAGCAAGCTGAAGCGGCTCCGCCAGCGCCGCACGATACGAAGCGACAGTGTTAGGCATAAGATGACGGTCCTGAAACAACCACGAGAGGAAGGACAAGACCACCCGAACAGACAGAACTAACACGACGAAGACGCAAAAAGAAACGGAAGGACCGCCAGGAAACTTCATACTGCCGCCGAGAAGAAGCCCTCAGGTGGGACACCAACAAGGAGGCCACCTGATCACCATAGAGATGATGATAGACTCGAGTCAAAAAAAACCATACGCGAAGACTCGAGAAGATCGAACCAGCTACGTGACGTACCGGCCCGATCTGCTGAAAGAGGCGGAGCCGCGGGAAAACCCTCGGGTTCGGACACCGAGCAACCAGCGCCTGAAACCAAGGCTGGGCCGGCCACTAAGGGGCCAGAAGGACAACTCTCCCCCGGTAAGTCTCTAAGCGAGTCAGGACCTGGAGCAACAGCCAAACCGGGGGAAAGAGGTACAGGAACCCCCACCTCGACCAGTCGAGCCGAAAGGCATCGACCCCGACGGCCTCGCAATCGGGGAAGGGCGCCGCATAAACGGGAAGACGCCGCGACCACGCCGACGCGAAGAGGTCCACTTCGGGGCGCCCGAACATCTGGCAAAGCCAACGGAAGGACTCGTCGTCGATCGTCCACTCCGTGGAGAGGGGAACGAAGCGAGACAGGGCGTCGGCCAAGACGTTGGACACGCCCCGTACATGAACCGCCAGGAGAGCCAAACCCCGAGAACTCAGCAGACGAGTCACCCGAAGCGACCAACCCCAAAGAGACAAGGACCGCATCGAACCCCCGCGGTTCAGGCAATGAACCACCGGAGAGCAGTCCGAATGGAGCCGAATCGTCGATCCGCGGGCCACCCGAATCCTCCCCAGAGCAAACCACACTGCCGCGAACTCCCGCACCGTACTGTGAGCTCGACGGAAGGACGGATCCCAACGCCCCTGGCCGGCCTGGTGAGCACCGGTCACAAAACCCCAGCCGAGAGACGACGCATCCATGTACACATCGAGCGAGGGCTCGGGTAGGCGCCAAGGCACTGAACCCCGAAAAACCCGAAGAGGAAGCCGGTGACGCAGCAACCGACGCAAGTCCCCCGGGGGTCGAACTCTGCGATCGCGAGAGAGGCGGAAGGGGGAACCCCGAAGGAACCAGAACAGCCGTCGAAGCCAAACCCGACCCGGCGGGTAGACCACCATCGCGAAGTTCAGGCTCCCGCACAGCCCCTCGAGCAACCGCCGGGTGACCCGAGGGCCCTCCAGAAACAGACGAAGGCGGGACCGCAGCCGCAGGAGAGACTCCGGAGGGAGAGACAAGGAGGCGGTCCGAGAGTCCCACACGAGACCCAGCCAAGTCCGAACCTGAGAGGGAACCAGATGGGACTTCCTCCAGTTCACCAAGAACCCGAACCCGGCGAGCTGGGAAAGAACCAAATCCCTGGCTAGCAAGCAAGCTGACTGGCTGGGAGCCCAAACCAGCCAGTCGTCGAGGTAGGCCAACACCCGAACACCTAGGAGACGCAAACGAGCCACCACAACCCGTGTAAGGCGTGTTAACACGCGAGGTGCCATGTTCAACCCGAACGGGAGACAACGAAAGCGGTAACTCAGACGCCCCACTACAAAACCGAGCCAGTCCCTGAACCGCGGATGAATCGGGACATGCCAATAAGCGTCCCGGAGGACCAGGGACACCATCCAAGCTCCCGGCTCCAAGAGGAGCCGAACCTGAGACAGCGTAGTCATCCGAAAGGAGGGGCAATGAACCCAGGGGTTCAGATGGGACAAGTCCAGAATGAACCGCAGGTCCGCGCAGTCCCGTTTCGGAACCGGAAACAGACGGGAAACCCAGCTGAGGGACGACGTCGTTTTGACGACACCCAAGCGTACCCACTCCAAGACGACTCGACAGAGCGCAGGGGAAGAAGCCTGCCCTGCCAGCCCCGACCCCCCAAAGGGGGGAGGGGCCACCCAACGCCACCGCAGGCCGCGAGACACGACCCGAAAGGCCCACGAATCGTGGGACCAGGCGCGGGCGAACAGCGCAAGCCGCCCCCCCCATCGCCCCGTCAAGGGGGCAAACCGCGAAAGGGCCGGCGACCCCTACGAGACCCAGAACCCCGCACAGCGCGAACACCGCGCCGACCAGACGAGGGAGGGTCCGCAGGAGGAGCCAACCCCAAACCTGACACCAGAGGCCTACCACGACGAGAGGAACCCCGAGCCCTGGCACGACCTTTCCGGGAAGACCCACCCCGGGACCCCCGGAAAACCAACAAGTCCGACATCGGACGACAAGCCGCCGACGCAGCCTGAATAAACTGCGCCTCGGCCGACTCCCCAAACAGGAGAGGACAAAATGGTGAAGAACGCCTAAGAGCCAGAGCCCAAGCAGATTCCACGGAGGAACCCAGCACCGCCTGCCGACACGCGAGACGGGAAGCATAGAACAGGGAAACCGCATCCCGCAAAATCGGCGTGAACAGCTTCAACAAGGCAGCCGACGAACGCGCAGCCGAGGACAAGGTGCCGGACCCCGGGACGGACCCAAGCGTCCCCACATCCTCCACGAGCTAATCCGAAGACAGCTCCAGGAGGGAAAAGAACCGCAAGGCCGAACACAAAAGGCCCCGAGCGCGCAAGTCCTCCGCCACGAGCGCCGCCGAAAGGGAGGGAACCTGCACATGGAGCTGAATAACGCCCACATCGCGGGGATGGGCAGGGGCAAACAAGCACTCATTCAGGTACTCAAGTTCACCCCCCAGGAAAACCTGAAGCACCGTGGAAGCTTCCCGCCACTCCAGCGTGCGGGAACGACAGAAGGAATGCCAGGAATCCAGACCAAACAAGGGGCAGTCTGCTAGCCAGGACGACTCCGGAACCTCGTAACGGAGCCAGAAAGGGAACGAAGTCCCAAACCCGAACGTGGACGGATCCATTTCCGAGGCATAATCCGGGTCACGCAGGAGGTAAGCTGCAAAGGCCGCTCGCACCACACCAGGTTGGATGCGATAAGCCGAAAACCTCCGGAAGGACGGAACCGACGTACCCGGGGGAACACGGAACCGAACCCGGGGAGGGGCCGACACCAATCCAACTCGTACTCAGAGGGGGGGAAAGAAAACCCCACTCCTTGTAACAATAAGCCCCGCTCAGTGGGAAGAAAAACCCAGGCGGGGTCCAGCGGGGCCCAAGGCCCCCAAGTCAGCCCCTCCCCAGCCTCAAGGTCTGTCACCACAGGACCCGAGGCCGAGTCCTCTCCCCAAGCCCCGACCCCACAAGACAAGGACGGAGCAGCCGAAAAAGCTGGAGGAAGGGGAGCCCACTGGTCAGACCCTGAAGCTTCGGCCGGGAGACAAGACTCGAATGCCTCTGCCGCCCCCCCGGAAGGGGCAACCCCCGAAGCTGCCCGAGTCTCGAGATCAAGTAACCCCTGCTCCGACCCCGAAACCCTCAGACGCTTCGGGGCCGGAAGCAGGGGCGGGGGACCAGAACGAACAGAAGGGGAAGGACGAGGAGGTGCGGACTGAACCAGGATCGAAGCGACCCCCACCCCTAAGTCCGGGTCTCGAAAAGCAAAGCGGGGCAGCCCCGGGGCATCCGGGGAAGCAACCAACCGAGCGCGTTGCAACAGACGAAACCTAGACTGCAACGCACGTGCCGCCTGTACCCGAATAGAATCATCAGAGGATTGGGTAAATCGAGTCACAAGCAAGCAGCAACACTCACAGGACTCAGGGTCGAAAGTATCACCGACCCAACAGGCAGCGTGGCAGAGGCAAAAACAATGAGGGTCACCCTGAGACAAGGGGACCGAGCAACCCTCAAACTCGCACACAGCGAGTGGGGACTCCGGGGTCACATCCATCGGACCCACGTGCCCCCTAGGGGATTCCCAGGGTCCTGAGCGTTTACTTTAAGAGGACTCGCGCTCAGGTAGTCCCAGGCAGGGTGCCACAAACCGGCGCCCAAAACTACCAAGCAAACTTCTAAAGCTGAACCCCAGGGACGTGTACACTCACGGGGACCTAGCAGGGGGCGCCACCGAGGAGAACAGTGGAAGGGCAAACAAACTGAATAAAATGACAGAACCCCCCACCAGGCAAAAACAAAAAGAAAAACAAAACCCCGCAAGAGGACAGCGAACCCCAAGGAACAGAGCCTGCCGCGATGTCGGGAAATACAAGCTGAGCAGCACCCTGCGCCCCTACCAGTGCAAACTGCCTCTTACCTGCCGGTAACAAGGGAGAACAGAACACCCAAGAGCCCAACAGGTGGCCGAAAAACCGAAAGGTAAAACGGACCAGCAGAGGCAGACCCCGAGGAGCCTGTGGAAGGTGGCCCCAAGCCCCAAGGGCAGTACTTACAGGGCACCTAGGGAAGGCAGCCCTAGGCGCATGCAGCCCGAGTACTGAAGATAACTCCTGGCTCTTGCACCCACAAAACTAACACCACACGCAAAGCACAGTGCAGTAGCGACACCGGAGCCAGAGCACACGACCATCGCCTATAGCATCAGCCTCAAGAACTGAGGTGTGGGTAGCCGGCGCGGGGGGTCTGGGGCTCCCCCTTCCCCCTCCCGGGGAGGGGGGAGCTGCGCAGACAGCGGCGCGGCAGTGTGTGACGTCACACTAGTTTGCTTGTTTTCGGTTGGGGAGTTCTATCCACTAGTTCGGTTTTAGGTAGCAATTTTAACCAGAATAGGGGTTTGTTTTGGGGCGCTTACCTTTCTGGGTGCCTGTTCCAGTCGATGGCAGACATAGAATGCTTCCAACTACACGGGGGCTTCTATAGGCCATTGCTCCCCTTGCCTCTCTGAGGGGGCCCGGTTCTGGCCGTGGTCCCCGGTAGGCCTAAGAACTCCATACACATGACTGATGCCAAAGTCTGACATTAGCATATCAGCCTGGGATAGCTCCGGGGAGCCGACGGGGCTCCCCCCAGAAAAATATGTAAAACAATTATTATACACAAGTTATAACAAATTTGGTTACAGATGCTTAACAAAAATTATAGCAATAATTGTAGGACAAATAGAGAAAATCTTTATTACCAATGATATATTTTTTCAATCTACACCCAATCCTTTAAACCATGTACTGCATGTTAGCTTAATATGACAATCCTATGGTGCACATAAAAAAAATTATTCAAAAATTTTTGTTTTTCTAATACCGTATATACCAACTTAGTGGTTCATTATGGTGAACATGAATGTAGATATTTATATATAACGTGTATATACAGTGTAATAACAGCAAAAGGAGTGTGGGGGAGAAGCCATTTTGGCGATGGGTGTGGCAACATCTGCATGATTTGTCATGTTGGTAGGGGTGGCCACTATGCTCTTTTGGCATTATACCAGCTTAGTTGAACAGTTATGGTGAACAAAACATGTAGATACTTATATATAACATCTGTGTATAGGGTAATAACACCACAAACAGTATTGGGGTGATATTTTAGTGCGTCTGACCTTGAACGTGTGAGGGAAGCAGCCGCCAGCTGTGTGCAACGACATCTCTTAGTGCCTGAACTAACTATATCAACTTAGTTGTACAGTTATGGTGAGCAAAGCATGTAGATACTTATATATAATGTCTGTATATAGTGAATAAAAGCAAAAACAGTATTGTGGGAGGAGAATGTGGGTAAGTCAGGTGAGTTGAGGGAGGGAAGAAATAGCAGCCAGTGGCAGGCTGCCACTGCCACTACCACTCAGCATGCCAACTTAGTGGTTCGTTATGGTGAACACGAATGTAGATACTTATATATAACGTCTGTATAGTGAATAAAAGCAAAAACAGTACGGTGGGAGGAGAATGTGGGCAAGTGAGGTGTTGAGGGAGTGAGTGGCAGCGAGTGGCTGGCTGGTGTGTGGCGGTCACTCCTCGTTGCTTTTTGACTCATAATACCAACTTAGTGGTTCGTTATGGTGAACAAAACATGCAGATACTTATATATAACCTGTGTATATAGTGTAATAACCGACAAAGTATTTGTTCACTGTTTGATGAACATAATTGAATCAACAATATGCACACCATATTTTTGAGTTCAGCGATGATTCACTCATTTTATTATATAAATATATCACACTACACACTATTGAATAATATTACAGCAAAAAACTACAAGAAATCAATCAGACACATTGAAATAATTAGGCAATTATCTCTGTGGCCACTCCTGCCTGACAGCTGGGAGCAACAGACTGTCTGGGACTATAGCAGGCAATATATGCCACTTACTATTTTTTATTACTTTTCCCATGATCAGAGATCACAAATTAACAGGTTTAGAAGAAAAAAATTTTTTTTTGGTATGCGCCTGTGGGTGACAAATGCTAATTAGCCCTGAGCAACACAAGGGTTAAGAAGCATATATTAGAATGCATAATAAATACACAAGCAAATGCCCCCCACAGCACTAACAGTTCATAATGGCTAGTACTTATTTGAAAACTGGGACTTTAAGGGCAGGAGGAAAGAGGAGCTTAACAGCGAACTCCAGACATATGACTAAGGGGGGTTAGGTAGAGGTTCAAAGTGGAAGGTGTGCATTACCCAGTGCTGCACAGATGAAACTATAATGTGAGAATTGCTTCAAGTGATTTTGATCACTTGGTAGTGAAATCACCCAAACCTTGGATAGGGTGACACAATCCCCCTGCTCCTTGTGCCTTGGAAGGCTTATTGTGACTTGTGAGAGCATGGCATGGATTGAACTGGAGAAAGTTTGCCAGGCAACAAGCACCAAAGAACCACCAATAGGAGCACTCCCAGGAAAAAAAATTTAGACCCAAAAATTGGGACTAGGAAGGCTGTTCATTAGAGCAGGTTTTTGTAAATCAACAGACCTCTTGTAAATACTGTATATAAACTTCAAGTAGATTGTAATGACTTTTACAATAAATAACAAGTCCAACTTAATGAATAGCAGTACACAAAAAGAACTAGGCAAGTCTGTATAAAAAATGAAACTAACATGTGAGTGCCAATATCCTTAACTTCATGCTGTATAACCTCATTGATGGTGCCATTTCCTTCAAGCTGATGTAGCATTTCATTGTCTTCCTCACCCAGCAATGGCACCCGTTGGTTGCTCATTTGCAAGACAGCCTGCAAAATATTATACATCAATTGTCCTTAATTGATAATACTCATATCATGGACAGCCAATAAATATTATATTAGATTAGATTATTTAAATAGCATTTATCTGTAGTGGTATTTGTTGCCAAGCATTTACTTTAAAAAGTTTCACATAAATAGATATCATATAAAACCAGCGTTGAATATAATGAAACGCCACTTTCTGGGCAAGTCCCGGAGGCTTTCCGGAGCTATCCAGGCTGATAGGGATAGTCCTAACTTTTGGCATCAGTCGATGTGGGTGGAGTTCTAGGCCTACCAGGAACCACAGAGAGAACCTGGCCCCCTTAGAGAGGCACGAGGAGCAATGGCCAAAAGCACATGTGATTTTGGAGCATTCTATATCTGCCATTGACCGGGACAGGCACTCAGAAAGGTAAGCGCCTCAAAACAAACCTCTATTCGGGTGAAACCATCGAAAATAACAAAGCAAGTGGACAGAACTCCCTCAAGGGAAAACGAGCAAACAAGCATGATGTCACACGAGCCGCACCGCATGTCTGCGCAGCTTCACCATCCAAGGGGAGGGAACAGGAGCAGCCCCAGATCCCCCGCGCCGGTGATCCACACCTTCAGTTCCAAAGCTGGATATCAAAATGCGCAAAAACCACCGACCGGAGGGAGGGAGGGAGGATTGCCGGGAAGCCTCCTGGACTCACCCAGAAAATGACGTTCCATTACATTCAACGCTGGTTTTCTGGGGAGAGCCCCTACAGCTCCCCGGAGCTAGTTCACCAAAGACTAAGGAAGAAGGGGACTCACCCGGGAGGTGGTCGGTGCTCCACACCTAAACTCAAAGTCGAGACGGGCTGCAGCCACCGACCTAAAGCGACACAGGCCCGACTAGGCCCAGGAACATTCCCAAGGTAGTGTGCAGCCAGGACCCTGTTCGACCGCCAAAAACCTCGTGCCCGAATGTCAGCCCAGGACATGTTCCCAAAAATGGCACCAAGATCGGCGGACAGTATTAGACATAAGATGACAATACCACCCAAATCGAAAGCAAAGTACAACGATGAAGAGTCAAAAAGAATGGAAGGACAGAAGGACCACCAGGAAACTTCATAATGCCGCCAAGACGAAGCCCGCAGGTGGGACACCATCAACGAAGCCACCTGATCACCATACATATGGTGATGAACTCGAGCCAAAAATACCAAACGTGAAGACTCGAGGAGAAGAGCGAACCAGTCTCGTAACAGACCAGGCCAATCTTCTGAAAGAGAACAAGCCGTGGAAAAACCTCCGGGTTTGGACACTGGGCAAGCAGTGCCTGAAACCATGGCTGGTCTGGCCACCAAGGAGCCAATAGGACTACTTTCCCTTGGTAAGTCTCCAACCGAGTCAGGATCCGGAGCAACAACCAGACCGGAGGGAAGAGGTACAGGTAACTCCGCCTCGACCAGTCCAGCCGAAAGGCATCGACCCCGATGGCCTCGCAGTCTGGGAAGGGTGCCACATTAACTAGAAGACGCCTCGACCATGCTGATGTGAATAGGTCCACCTCTGAGCGCCCGTACGTCCAGCAGAGCCAACTGAACGAGTCGGCGTCGACCATCTATTCTGTGGAAAGGGGAATGAACCGAGACAGGCCGTCCGCCAGGACAGCAAAATCCCGAGAACTCAGCAGACGAGTCACTCGAGGCGACCAGCCCCAAAGAACCAAGGACCGCATCAAACCCCTGTGGTTCAGGCAATGAACCACCGGGGAGCAGGCCAAATGGAGCCGGATCATTGCTCCTCAAGCGACCCAAATCCTCTGAAGCGAATGCCACACTGCCGCAAACTCCCACTCCGTGCTGTGAGCTTGATGGAAAGACAGACCCCACTGACCCTGGCCGGCCTGGTGAGCACTTGTCACAAAACCCTAGCCAAGAGACGAGGCATCCGTGAACACATTGAGCGAGGGCTCTGGGAGGCGCCACGGCACAGAACCCCGAAAAACTCATAGAGGAAGCCGGCTACGCATCAGCTGACGCAAGGCTCCCAGGATCCAAACCCATCAATCGCGAGAGCGGCGGGTTTGTTTTGTGACGCTTACCTTTCTGGGTGCCTGACCTGGTCGATGGCAGACATAGAATGCTTTCAACCACATGGGGGTTTCTATAGGCCATTGTTCCCCATGCCTCTCTAAGGGGGGGCCAGGTTCTGGCTCATGGTCCCCGGTAGGCCCACAGAACTCCATACACATGACTGATGCCAAAGTCTGACATTAGCATATCAGCCTGGATAAGCTCTGGGAAGCCGTAGAGGTTCCCCCCAGAAAAAGTACACATGATATATGGGAACAAAAATATCACACCATCTAAAACCCAAAGATAAAACGAGCCATCACCTTAATTGAAACTTCTCGGATGGCATCATTCCCATCATTGTGGACACAGAGACAACAAGAGAAGGTTTCGCCAAGGTAAATGTTCCTGAAAATCAGAAAATATTTAGATCCTATTACTTTCCTCAAACCTTTACTAACCATCATTATCTACAATATTCCTTCTAATTAAATCAAGAATACATATACGAGGATAAGAATTTGCAAATATGGTTGTACCTCCATTTACGAATTTAATCCGTTCCCAGAGATGGGTCGTAACTCGAAATGAATTTTCCCATAAGAAATAGTGTAAATTGAATTAATCTGTTCCACACTCCGAATATATTAACTTCAAAATACATTTCATACATAATACACACATATTTTGTACTATAGAATGTACAAGTTATAGCTTACTTTAATTGATGACTCTTGTTGGCATATGGAAAACAGTGAGAAGAGGGGGAGGAGAGGTGCTACTGTTTGAAAGGGGAGTCCCCTTCTATTATAACATCAGGCAGTGAGACTTTTCTGGGGTACATCTTTCCCTCTACATTTTGCAGGCATACCACTAGGACCTGGTTGTGGCTCACTGCTTGCTTATCTTACTAAGAATCTGTCTAAAGACACTTGTTTTTCCCTACATTTTAACACTTGTCTGTAGTGAGACATCACATCGTTATTTAAAAGTTCAATGGAACGGCCTGCTTCAGCTTTATCTGGAAGAGTTTTTTCAACAAAACTTTTGCAGTTCTTCCCATACTTCACACATTTTCTTAATAAGGAAGGGACATTCTCTACTCAACTATTTTCTTAGGCTGAACCTTACCACTGACTTTCTTGGGACCCTTGGACCCACTTTCTTGGGGCGTGATATATGATAATTACTTTTTATATTCAAAAAACAAAAAACCAGCGTTGAATCTAATGAAACGCCATTAAAGGCTTCCCGGAGCTATCCAGGCTGAATGGATACGTATCTTTCTGGCATCAGTCAATGCATGCAGTTCTTGCCTACCAGGGACCACGAGCCAGAACCTGGCCCCTCTAGAGAGGCACGAGGAACAATAGCCTATGGAGACCCGCCCTGTGGTTGGGAGCATTCTATGTCTGCCATCGACTGGGGCAGGCACCCAAAAAGGTAGAACCTAAAACAAACCCCTATTCTGGTAAAAGTATTGCGACTGGAAGCTGAACAGGTGGACAGAACTCCCCAAACGTAAATTAGCAAACTAGCATGATGTCATCATGTCACTGCACCGCTGTCTGCGCAACCCCCCCCCCTCCCCGGGAGGGGGAAGGGGGAGCCCCAGACCAATCTGCCGTGACCCAACCTGCAGTTCTTAGGCTGGATGTCAAAAAAGTGCGAAAAACTTCGCCGACTGGAGGGAGGGATGCCGGGGAGCCTCCGGGACTCACCCACAAAATGGGGTTTTATTACATTCAACAGTTTTCTTGGGGAAACCCTGTCGGCTCCCCGGAGCTAACTACCCAAAGATAAGGAAAAACAGGGACTTACCCAGGAGGCAGTTCGTCCTCACTCCTCAACACGAAGTCAAGAGAACTGACTGCAACCGCCGACCCAAGGCAACGCAGGCCCTATTTTGAGTTATCTCGAGATGATTTTGGGGCTTTAGTGTCCCCGCAGCCCGGTCCTCGACCAGGTCTCCATCCCCAGGAAGCAGTCCATGACAACTGACTAACACCCAGGTACCTATTTTACTGCTAGGTAACAGGGGCATAGGGTGAAAGAAACTCTGCCCATTGTTTCTCGCCGATGCCTGGGATCGAACCCAGGACCACAGGATCACAAGTCCAGTGTGCTGTCCGCTCGGCCGACCCGCTCCCAGCCCTACCGGAGAGCCCTACCTGGCCCCGGAATATTCGCCAGGTAGCAAGCAGTCAGGACCCTGTTCAACCTCCAAAAACCCTGCACCTGAATGTCAACCCAAGACATGTTGCCAAAGACGGCAGCCAAAGCAGCAAACTTACGCACTTCGTGGGCATGGGGATAAACCACAGGCTGGGTAGACTTAACCCTGCAGACAACCTGAGAAACCCGAGCCCGGGAACAGGGAAGAAGGGAAACCGGGTCAACACAAAGTGCATCCCCAGCCACCGAAGCCGTGGCGCGCAAATAATGACGGAGAGCCGCAACCAGACAACACATGATGCTCTTTGAGGGGGAGCCAGGTTTTGGGTCTGGTCCCTAACAGGTCAAACAGAACTCACGTCAGGTAAGAGGAAAAGGTACATTTAGCAAAATTTTCTATCAACAAATAACTAATATAAATTGACAGAGGTGATTACACTGGTGAAGATATATGGCTTAGGTACTAATATTGGGAACATGGGTAGCATAAGATAAAGTGCGAGTTTAATAAAGATAAAGTAAAACTAAACACCCTAGTTTACAAAATATGGCATCTCTTTTAATCACAGTTACTTACCCAAAGCTCTGAGGCAGCAGCAACATGTGCCCGACCCCAGTGTTAGGAAGTCCCTGAGGAATAGCTATATCAGCACGAATATCTGCATTGAGATGATCACCTGGCAAATCTCGAGCATCACTGCCAATGGCAAGACCCGTAAATAGTGAGGGTCGAGTCAGTCTCATAACTGAAGGAAATGGACATTAAGAGTATTAATAATAAATAATAATTATAATAATAATAATAATAATAATAATTACAGTAATATTATAATCCCTATAAATAATAGACCAAATCTAATCACTGGAGCAGGAATCACCATATGGAAGCAGGTGTCACCATGTGAGTGTTGGCATGTGAGAGTATGTTGGCATGTGGAACTGTGTGTTCACATGTAAGAATGTGTTGACATGTGGAATTGTGTGTGTTGGCATGTGGAAGTGGGTGATGGGATATTGAAGATTAGATGTAGGATTGGATGCCATCATGAGCGTGTTGATGAAACAGAAGTCAATGCTATAATTACCCTACTGACCATGAAGTTATATATATATTAAGCCTTTTTACTACCAAGCCTAATACATCTTAATTTAGCACAGTAAATAACTTCAGTCATAACATGTCATCAGCATACCGTAATAACATTATAGTTGTTATTAGGTGACTCAGTGCCTGCCAATGTATTTGCCTCAATCTTATTTAACCATTAGTTAACAAAATACTCTCTACTGTGTTGTAAAGACACCACCATTAATGGTCTTAAAAGACTCCATAAAAATTATTTCATTTTAATCTAAACTACTTACCTATACCTCAGATTCTACTTTAGATTCCATCCTACCTAATCTTAACCAGTAACTGTCCACTTCGGTACTAAATACAAGACTGGATCCTCTAAACAACATTTCCTCTTAACAAGAGGTATTTTCTCACAAGAGTTAACAAGAATTTTGTTAAAGTATCCTTAAACTTTTGAAAACAATAATTCCTATTAATATACTTTGCTTAAATTTCAACACAATTTAAACAATATATTAGTCAATACATTTACATAATTAAATGCATATACTGTACAGTACAGTATATAATTATATATAAACATGTACCTGAATAATATACTGCTGAAATGAAGTCGAGAACATACCTTTCAGGCTAAGAATATGGTCTTTTTCCTTACTATCCATTTTATTAATGTCTCCAGCAAGACGTGCAGTTGAGTGGTTTACACAGAAACTGTCAGCTGTTTCTCTTGATTTTGGTGTATACTCCTTCCTGAAATAATCTATTAATAACATCAACATACTCCAAAATTCTTTTAAAAATTAACATTTAAAAGCCCCTTATTTAAGAGTTACTAGACAATTTCAGAGTTGTAGGTTCATCTCCATCAAAAATTATAAAAACCTATTTCAGTATACATACATGAAAAGTACCTTACAAAGTTTTCCACAAGGTAGCAAGATCCTACTGACCTCTGATTAGGATCTTATGCAGTCAGAGAAAGTTGACACTTAGCATCAGTGAAATGGGGAACTTTTCCAACTGTCCCTTTCAGGTCCTACTAGTCCTAGCAAGACAATCAATAATACTAAATTTTGCACATTACTACTTAAGGACCTGCCCGAAACGCTGCGCGTGCTAGTGGCTTTACAAGACTGTAATTACCATATTTGTATCCTCACATTCCTTATGTACATTCTTGTATATGCATAAATAAATAAATAAATAAATAAATAAATAAATTTCTCTGAATGGGTGGAGGGGAAAGGCCTGACCATCAGTACACAGACTGTAACCTAGTGTAACCTCTTTGAGAAGGGTGCAGCAATGTGTAAAACATTAACACAGACATTTCAAGATTATATATACATATATACCTAATGCTCAAACCTGAATTTACTGGAAAACCACTATCTCTCTCTTAGCCTTGACAAAGGACAAGAAGCTGGAAGCTTGTCAAAGGTCCACCCCATTTATCCTGATGATTTTACCAAGCTGGATTTTTAAATTTAACAGCATTTTGGCATTTATGGCTCTAGCTGGTAGGCTATACCATGGGTTTATAATTATAACTCTTATGGGTAGTACAGTCGGGTTCATTCTTGACTCAAAATCAAGAATTCCAGGTTCGAATCCCAGACAGGATAGAAATGGTTGGGCACATTTCCTATCACCTAATCCCCTTATCCACCTAGCAGTAAACAGGTACCCAGGAGTCAGTCAACTGTTGTGGGTTGCATCTTGAGAAGGGTCAGTAATTCAACCCTTGGGGGGAACCTCGATATAAGCCTAGCATGTACTGTAAGTATGAACTGGATGCCTGTCCCCCGGACACAATGAATTACTGCAATTAACCTTTTCTGTCCCAATCTGGGATTTAAACCCAGAATTCCAGATTGTGAGTTGAGAACAAACCCGATTGTACTACTGGGACCCATGACTGTACTACAAGGACCGAAAATGCTGTGTATATTTAGTGGATTTATATCAAATATAAATGTCAGCTATGAACTCACTGTAATCAGGTCCTAGGCATTTTTATTAATAAAATTATTATTAATTATTATTATTATATTGTGCATAAAGGTGTCAGGTCAAGTTGCCCCCTACCTAATTCACTCCTAACCAAAAATACTCTAACCTAAGCTTTCTGTAATCATATCTAACATGGTCTAACACAGCCCATAAATCTAAAAATGTACTCACCTAGTTGCACTCACCTAGTTGCGCTTGTGGGGGGTTGAGCTTCGGCTCCTTGGTGTAGTTATATGGAAGGGTAGAATTTTTAAAAGGAGAGATTGGCCTGTTAACCGAGGTACTCAACACTGTGGTAAACTGTTTCGGCAGATGGTTCCTTCCTCCTGATTATATAATCTGCTTTAAAAACTAACTTAATATACCTCTTCTATATTTACACAAAGACTGTTCTATGGAAATGAACTGGCAGATGTGCTGGCTGCTGAGGGCATTGAAGGAGACCATATTGAATATTTCACTCCCAAGATTGTTCTACAGATTAGGGATATTCTCACGCAACATCACAGTGACAAGGTAACTGAGGAACGGAAGATAGAAGACCAAATAAAAGAATATGTATGCTGGTGCAATGTGTTTGCAGCTGTCAATCTCAATTATTATGGATGAAGGAGTGGTGGCCCCAGGAATCATTAATAGCGAGAATTCGTCTTGGATAAAAATTCCCATGGATATTCGGGATGGAAACAACAGTCGAACAATGGTGCTGCAGAATCTGTGGCGAGCGATGGACATCATCTTGACCACTACCAAAAAGACACGGTGCCCATCTCAGAAACATTACAAATATGTGTAGAACAAATCCCACATTGAGTTAGGAAAATACTACAGTATTTGTCAAAGGAGGAGGAGAAAATATGGAGAAGAGTAGAAGAAAATATCAAAGTGTTCAGTTAGAATCCACAAGGTCTTCTCTGAGTGCTCTTTATTTTCTTCTCCGAGGCTATGGGTCCCTACACTTGCACCAGAGGTGGTACCCCTTCTAGGTTAAAAAAAAAAAAAAAATTGTCAAATATATTGTTCTTAAAATATTTCCTTACGTTGCCCCTGAAAGCTAACGCAACTTTAGGGGTTGACAAATGTTAATCTTCTTGTTCGACAAGTTGTTCACTTTTGACAGTTAAGCAAGTCCCAGCTGTATCTGGGAACGAATGACAGGATGAACACCCTATCCGATCCCTCGATCGTCATCGCCCCTCAATCAACAAACGATAACAACAAACGATAACCCAGCAGAGTTTTGTTCCTATTGGGAGGGTGTTGTACATGCAGCTATGACGGTATGTTCATTCACAGATTGAATAGCGCTGACCAATAAACTCGCCCTTCGGTGCAAAATAAACAAATAAAAACTTGCCTCTTGGGAGTACTGGAGCTGGAGTCCCACCTGCGGTAACCTGCAGGCAACTAGGGTTACCAGATACAAATTGTTAAAAGGTAGCGAGCTGACGGTCTAAAAGTAGCGAATTTGTAATAAGAGTAGCCCAATTTTTTTTTAGTGACTGATACGGGTTTCAAAGTAATATATTTTGATATATAGAATACACTACACGATGTTAATTGTTTTATTAATATTATTTCTGAACACACACACACACATAATATATTGAACGAGGTGAGAATAGCTTGAGCTACCTCATCCCTTTGTGTGTATTTTACCTCAATAAACTTATTTCAATTTCAAAATAATATATTTACACACACACACATACATACACACACACATACATATGCACACACACACATACATACAAAATATATAAATATATATATATATATATATATATATATATATATATATATATATATATATATATAATTTATTTATTTATTTCTGATCGGGGAGAAAAAACAAGCCAGGATTGGGGGGACCTTAATTTATTAAATAATGTATACAGAGCAACTGCTGTACCACAATATGGTCACTGCTTGATCGCAAGCGGGGATTTTTCTGGCGGGGGAGAAAGAAATAATTGCGCAGCGCGTCCCGCGGCGTTGCGCGGGCAGTTTGGGGCCGTATAAATACGGGCGCACACTGGGGCTCTGCCTCACTCCGCCTGCCCTCGCCGCTGCCCTCGCAAAACCCCACCCTCCCCCCCCTTTGCAAGCGGCTGCTTTTGTATCCCCGTCATGCTTTGCACAGTTGTCCCGATTGTCTCCCCACTGCATGTGGGAAGGGGGGTGCAGCGCCGGTCCCCAAGTGTCCCGCTGTCCGCAGCTAATACTTTGCCCAGTCTAGGTGCTAGTAAGCCCTACTTGTAGTCACACCCCCTTCTCCTTATCCATTAGGTCTTTTACGGCCTCTTGGCCGGGTACATTACGTTATGTGGTCTCTCACTTATTAGTTATTCTTTGTGTCCTGCCTGTTATATCCTAGTGTTATATAATTACTACACATTTGCACTCGGCCTTAATTCTAGTACCAGTTAACCTTTAGGTTTCTGCAGAATTAGTTTCCATGTCACTATAGGCTAAGGTCTCATACTTACTACGGGTGTACCTTTTAAGTTAAATCTAGTCCTCGGACTTGGAATTGTTACTGTTAATTCTTACCTTATATATTTACTTTATATATTTTAATATAAACGTTATATAGTCCTTAAATTATATATTTTGAAACTTTATATATTTACATGTTCAATATTAAGTTTAATAATATCAACTTTGTTATAAGTCTATAATATAAACCGTGTTTAATATAAACTTTATATAATTACTTACTTTATATTTGAACTTTATATATTTACATGTTCTGCAGAATTTAATCTTCAATAAACTTTAACGCCCCATACTGCCAGTATCTTTCTCCCCCTGGTCAGAAAATAAATGATGTCGTATAACATGACTGCGTAGAATGCCAGTACTGCAAAGATGCAACTAAGGAAATAAGTCGTAGCACATTAACCGTGCCTAGTGCCATTTAGCCGAAGCAATGTTGCAGTACTCGCAATCAGCTTAATGCTATAATTAAAGACAACACCAGAGTTAATTGAGTGGCACAGCCAGTACAGTATGTACAAAATATATTCTGTATACACAGAGGACATAGAAAAGAATAGATAAGAATTTCCAGGGGTAATGATATGCTAGTGCCTAGTTTACATGTAAAGTCTGCAACCCCCAACTTGCACTACAAGTGGGCACTTGACATATGATAAGTAGCTGCGGGCAGCCCTAGACTTGGGGATCCGGCGCAGCACCCCCACCCCCTGAAGGGCAAGGTGCCCGCTGGCCGCAGAAGTAACTTATCTAGGTAGTGGAATGACGTCTTGCCTGACGTAGGAGTGGAACGCATCACTTTTCCACCTGCCGACTGCTCTGATTGCTGCCGGCGCCAGGCCATCCTTGGACATCTGCGTGGCCCTGCCGATTCTGAAGGAGTGCGGAGCATAATCGTTTGGAGGCAGTCCTAGTGCTCGAATGGCAGCACGGAGCACCCATGTGAAATCTTGTCTGGTGACCGGGGCGCCCGTTTCGTCTAGGAATATAGGTCCTGGTTCCATGCCCCGTCGTCTTATGTAGTTCGCCATGGCACGGACCGGGCAGTACTTGCTGTAGGGGTCTGCACTCAGGTTTAAAGTGGGGGTACGACCTGCACTGTGCTTGTAGGAGGCAAACGCGATGTCGATCCCCGTTCGTGATAAAGTTAACTGGTCCAAGCGTAGCGTGTGTTGCCCCTTCCCCGCATAGGTCACCTCCCCTGGCCGGAGGCAGGCGTAGAAGGCGAGGGAGAAGAGCGCTCGGTAGCAGGTCTTCAAGTAAGTCGAGCAGCAGACACCTCGCAGGGCCCCAGTAGTCGATGCAATAGTCGTCTGGGCACGGCCAATCGTCGTGCGGGGAGCCGTTGGGCCTTGTTGCGTGCTCCCTTAAGCAGTTGTGTGACTAGGAACTGGCGAGTAGGATCCTCCCTACCATGCAGCTTGAAAATGAAGGCGATCGCCGCGAGGTAAGCGCTGAGAGAGCGGAAAGCCAAGCCCCGAGACAGCAGCGACTGCAGGAAGTTCGCCAGTGTCGAGGACGAGGCCTCGAAGGGACACTCCCGTCTCCTGTCGTCCGATACGTACGCCACGTACTCCGCCCACTTATGTTGATACGTGCGCCGTGTCCCGGGCTGCAGGGAGTCGAGCAGCGTCCTTACAGTTTCAGGGTGAAGTTGCAGGGCAGAAGGTGCTGCGGGACTGCGGTTGGCTTCTCGGCGAGTCCTGCGTCTCGCAGGAACGAGGGCGGCAGTTCCTGCAACAGGGAAAGAGCGTCACAAACCCCGTTTAACTTGCCCGGGAGGTGTGATGGAAGAAGCATAATATTATGGGTGAGGAGGAGGATTGCCATATATATACATACATATATACATAATTTTTTATTTATTTTTTAACCTAAAAGGGATACCACCTCTGGTTCAAGTGTAGGAACCCATAGCCTCGGAGAAGAAAATAAAGAGTACCCAGAGAAGACCTTGTGGATCCTCACACTTTGATATTGTCTTTTCCTACCACCCCTATTCTTTTAGTATGTGTGTCTATATGTCTAACTTTATTTTAAAATTCCATTACACAAAGAGGGTAATGCACAACCTGAAGCCCAAGTGACACCCCCGAAGTCCGACTAGTTTTGTAACCGGAGTCCGACAACTTGTGTAACCGAAGCTCGACCAGTTGTGTAACCAGACCCCGACCAGTTGTCTAACCTTACGCCTAGCAAGTATACATCTCATCCAACCCCCACAAAGCTAAACAGTCCCAGAGAACAACCAAGCTCCATTCCTAGCTCGACCAAACAAAAATCTCATTAGCCCTACCTAAAATCCTTCACTTGCCCTAGACACCAACTATTGACCCATAAACAATTGAACTATATACAAAAAAAGAAACCCGGATTTCAAGCAAACATATAAACAGAGCCTTAGCAAACAAACCTAGAGCACTAGTACACAACCGCTGAAGCACAACCATGCACGAACCGAAGCCTGACCATGCACAACCCACAGCCCCAGTGACACCCCCGGAGCCCGACCAGTTAATATAACCGGAGCCCGACCAGTTATTTAACCGGAGCCCGACCAGTTATTTAACCGGAGCCCGACCAGTTGTGTAACCGAAGCTCGACCAGTTGTGTAACCAGACCCCGACCAGTTGTCTAACCTTAAGCCTAGCAAGTATACATCTCATCCAACCCCCACAAAGCTAAACAATCCCAGAGCACAACCAAGCTCCATTCCTAGCTCGACCAAACAAAGATCTCATTAGCCCTACCTAAAATCCTCCACTTGCTCTAGACACCAACTATTGACCCATAGCAAACAATTGAACTATATACAAAAAAAGAAACCCGGATTTCTAGCAAACATATAAACATAGAGCCTTAGCAAACAAACCTAGAGCACTAGTACACAACCGCTGAACCACAACCATGCACGAACCGAAGCCTGACCATGCACAACCCACAGCCCCAGTGACACCCCCGGAGCCCGACCAGTTGCAGTTGCACCCCCTGCCCGACCCCCTGCCCGACCAGTTGCACCCCCTGCCCGACCAGGGCAGTCACCCTGCCCTGGTGACTCTCTATTACTCCATTATCTATCCATATCTCACCTATGGTATTTGTGCTTGGGGCTCTACTACCCAAAATCACTTACGTCCTCTAATTACTCAACACAAAGCTGCTATTAGGACAATATCCAACTCTGGCCCCAGACATCACTCGGTACCCCTACTCAAATCTCTGAATATGTTAGACATTAAGTCACTGCACATTCACTCATGTGTATTATACATATACAAAACGCTAAATTGTAATGCCAATCCTGATCTCAAAAGCTTCATAGAAGGTTGTAACAGAACCCATGAGCACCACACCAGAAATAAATACAGTTTTGATATTCCTAGAGTACGACTTAATCAAACCAGAAATGCTCTACAAATCAAGGGGCCCAGGATGTGGAATGACCTTCCCAACCATGTTAAAGACAGTACCTCTCTCAACCAGTTTAAGTTAAAAACGAAGCTATACCTAATAAATTCCATGTAACCTACCTTACCCTTCTATTGTCAACCCATGTATGTTTTTTGTTTTACAAATCAACGCTGTTTTAATGTAATTTTCTGTAATAATTTATAATTGTATTTGTGCTGTTTTTTCAACAATGTTCCCCCCCTCTTTTACCTCTATTTTTATTTGTACTCAACGCATTTTTTTCTTTTTACCCATTAGTTTTAAGCTTTAGTCAGT